AAAGAAGTTTTTAGTGCTATGATTAATTGTTTGGTAAGTATATATATTAAATGTTAAGAGGAAAATAAAAATTAAAAAAAAAATTGCCGTGCATCTAAGGTACCATTTTCATTTGCCGCCCAGTGCTGGAAAGAGTTAACTCATACGTGAAAGTATCCCATTCGATCTACATCTACTGTACAGCATAGCCACTATTGTCTACCTTTTTTTTAACTTTAAAAAGCCTAATTTTTTTTAGACATAGATTAAATTCAAGAAAAATCTTAATCTTAATTTTAGTACTCTTAATTATAATATAGTTAATTTAATATATTTTATACTTTTATTACATTACTAGCTGACCCGGCGAACTTTATTCCGCCTTAGAGGTAATAAATGAGCAGATTTTGGATTTTATTTTTATTAGGATAATAAAAGTAAATAAAAAAAATCTAGAATTAATTAATCAATTTCATTTTAAGCCCAATGGCCCATGCTGCCGAGGGTATATATAATAAAAATAATAATAATAATAAAAAAATCTAGTATTTTAATGGTTCTTGATTGGCCATGTATTTTGGTGCATGGGTTGCACTATTCAGTAGACATTTTTCGTTTTAAAAATGTATGGCGTATGCTGTGCATCTTCGAGAGGTTTTGAATGATTCAATTCGATGGTGAATCTGTCCTTGTATCTACAAAATCAAAAGCAAAGTCATCAGTATTACTGATTTATATATACTATTTTTAGAATTAGCATACATAATAGTCATAATACATAGTAATAAGTAGGTATAGTATGTTATTCTTCTACTGTATTGTGTGTAAGTATAAAAATAAATAAAAAATACTTTGAATGTCGGATTAAATCATCGTTCGATAATGTCTGCCTCAAATGATGTAATTTGGAAACAACCATTGTATTTTTGAGTGTTTGCTAGAAAATGTCGTGATTCGGGTGTTTCGCCACGAAACAATGAATGCAACGTCTCAGGTGGCGGAGTCAATAATGGCAATTTCACTTTTCCACTAAGGCAGCACAATCCTGGAGCTTCTCTGAAAAACTCCAATGCTCCAGAATACTTGTCAAACAACGTCCATTGGCCCAACCCGAACGCTAGTATGCAAGCAGTGATCAGTGCTGCAATCGTATCGAAACGCCGCTCGATTCGAATCAGTGCTTGATAAATTTCTTCTCGTGCGTCGAAAATCATCTGGTCGTTGTACTCTGAGCCCTGAGGTTTGCTCGACGATTTCGCATTTCCAATCGAGCAGTTTCACGGGCTGCAGGCTGCCACGATTTGCTATTGTGATTGAGAAGCACGAAGTCGAGCCATACTAACTTCGAGTGCAATTTATTGTTCTTCTTCAGTCCTTTCATTCGCAATGTTTCGAATCCTAGTTGCATTACGGAATTACTTCGTCGTGAAAGATTTGATCGTCTCGGTTGCGGCATGGTATTGTCGTTAATGATGAAATGAGCGCAATAAAACAAAGTCGAGTTAGTTACAACATTTCTATACAAATAAAACCAAGTCGTACTTAGGAAATGCGTGATACGTATAATTGTGTGCGTGTGTGTAGGTACGCCGACCTGTGGGGGCCGCGATGAGTTTAATAATTATAAATTATCAATTATAAATTATCGATTATAAATTAAATAGATATTACTAATTCGGTCGATAGTTATATGACTTTATAATGTTATATAGGCACAGTGGACTTCTCCATAATTAACTTATGATGTTTTGACTGATAAATTTTTCTTTTTGTTGTCAGTTGCGTTTTGTTATGGCACGTTCCACGGGAACGGCATAAAAAGTAGGTAGGTATCCTATGCCCGTCTCTTGGTTCTAAGCTACCTCCCCACCAATATTCAGCCAAATCGGTTCAGCCGTTCTGGAGTTATAAATAGTGTAACTAACACGACTTTCTTATATAGATGTAAGATCTACCTAATATATAACATACATTTTAGATGTTCTTAAAACAGCAATTACGATCATAACAACTTATGCTTATTGCTTACAATATTTACCTCTAACTCACACAGAACCACTACATGAATTTTTCAACTACGGTAGGTACAGTAAATAAATAGGAAGTATATTTTATAATGATTTTAATATATATTTTAACATTTGATTTTTTATTTTTATAAAAAGTAGTTACCAGAAATATAGGTTACACAGATTATTTTGCTGTTATACACATTTATAAAATATCAGTCATCTTAAATTACTAAAATAAGTTTAAAACACATTCATACACACTTCATACACACTGCAGTTTAATATAAAAATCAATATGTAAGTATATTTTGTTGGAATACGACTAATACGAGTACCTACTGGTTACTGACAAATAAAATTCATAGGTATAAACTAATAGTTATCTCATTTTCGACGGGAAAAAATAGCATCAGTAGGAGGGAAGGCTGCAGACATTGATAATCAACTTTAGTATTTATGGCCGCGGACTAATTTATTGCTCTTATCGTCCCGGATATTTTTCCTTCTATTTTTTCGAAAGAGTGTATGCACCGCATGGCCCACCCACGCCAAGTTTATGAAGTAAAAATAATATACATATATGGTATAGATTGTTACACATTTTGTAATAAAAATTAAATTATTTATATAATATACAATTGAAACTTTCATACAACGAACTTCCAATTAACAACATTTTCAGTGACGAAATATTTTTGACCAAACCAATTTAGAATCACATTTATTTAATTAAATTTAACGAAATTTTCTATAAAAGTAATTTTTTTTTGGTGCCCATGAGGCTTTGTAGAATGGAAGTTTCACTGTACTCGTATTTATATTGTTGAAAGATGGTGACACGACTAATTTTATTTTTCTCAATTAAATTATTAATACCTACCTCTAGCTGTAGGTATAAATATTATGTTTTTTTCCTGGGCCCCGGGACCATAGTACTCTCTGACCTCTATTTGTGGTGTCCTAGACTCAAACCACGTTCAAATTTCTGCCGATTTCCAAAGTCAGTGAAGTCACTGTATCTTCATAAACATCCGGGAAACTAAGTGGAGAATTCTTATTAACCTAAAGTCCAGTCATAAAATATAAATTCAATCATCTTCACCTGTTCGTACTATATTTAGATCCAAACTCACACAAAATCCTCATTTTACAAATTTTTACTGATGACCATTTGGATATACGCTATGTAAATTTTGGGGTGTGATAAGTGTGTGTAACCAATATGACTCTTTACATAAAGATTTGAAAATGATATTGTTGAACAACCATCCTTAATTTACTACAATAGGTCGTACAGAAAACGCCAACACCGGCACACCGTTCAAGCCATCAATATCTTCTCATATATATACGTAACCTTTCTCACAAACTTCCAAGTCACTTCAAAATTCGCTGGTGCAGATATATCCTAAAATGAATGTTATATGATAAATAAAATGAATAGCTTCCTTCGCCATGAGTTGTTTTCTATGCGTTACCTATTTATCATTATTATGTACATTACTCCTGTTTACTTATTGTGTTTGAAACACCGGTTGTACATTTGTACATTGTTCCAGTAATAATATAGAACAATTTATTTTCCATCGATTTTTGTTTACAATTTAATTTAAAAACGATGTATATTGTGTGTAAGATTGTAAGACATAGATTCTATTATATAGGTGGCTACATATTTATAAAGAAACACCTACCCTGCTACACACCCTATTACGGTTTGCTCACCTCGGTAATATCGGTCTAAAATATAATATATATATATAAGTTTAGAGTGTCCCGTAGTGTTGGGTTCATTTTTTTTAAGTAACGTTCGATATAACGTTATAATAATATTATGACAACTATTAATTCATCGCCAAAAAATAATAATGAAAAATATCGATGTACGCCATAGGACGTAAATATTAGTGTAGGTAATTACTAGTGTACTACCATGCCTACACATATTTGTACCTACAATTTGCTTAACATGTCATAAATATTTTATACTTTGCGATCAATTATATATTTTAAGAATGTACCCATTATACATTATTACGTTATTATGTGTCTGTGTTATTATAAATATAAAATGATTGTGAAAACGAAATAAAAAACTTATTTAGGGGGGGGGGAGGCAATTGCACCAACCATCGGGACGTCCATGATATTAGCTACAATGTATATTGACACGGATATCTGCTACATTGAATAATATATACAGTCATGAATATATTTAATAATCAACAATATATTATTTTTAAAATAATTTTTTAGCCAATTCGGTGACTTTAATTTGGTTATAATGCGCACTGTGCAGATCGATGGTAGACCACATCATTGATGTCATGTATGAGTGCCCTCTGCCATTATACCTATGTATTCTATATCGATTGATAAAAGAGGATGTAAAAAGGTCTCAATTAAAAAAAAATGTATATTTTTTTGTCATCACATCAAGAAAATATATAGTTAATTTCATTGAAACATGTAAAAATGTACAAAAACTACACGTGTATCTGCATAAAAATTGTATTCAAAATAAAAATTAAAAAAAAACTGCACTAATCACTTTTCAATTTAAACTGCTGTACTTCTCACGAAACACATTTATAATTTACATTGCGCTATAAATCACAATGTAAAGAAAGTTGCAAATGAAATAAAGTCTTACCAATTTACCGGCCAAACATATGTATATATATATATATTATATGACTTAGTCATAGACTTCAAAGCTAATTAATTCTCATGCACGAGGAATAGATTATAGTAAAAGACATAATATTATACAACAAATTAAAATGAATGTTTATTCAACTTTATTTTATTCAAACCATTTAACAGTATATTTTAAATCAACATCATAGGTAATGTATATTATGACACCGTTTTGATACTGTAGGAAATATAAACGAAAGTATATTATAATTTATAATATTAATTATTATTAGTCATTAATCATGAAAATGTAATATGCGTAAGAGGTATTATATATAATAATAATAATAATAATAGTATTGATTATTGTTATTTTTGCGACATGAGAATAATTATTGAACGATAGGTTTTTGGCGTGGGTATCAATAAACACTATATAAATAGGTACCTAAATGTGGGCAAATAACTACAGTCATAGGTAATGTAATATTATAATCCAAATAAATAGTTGAATATTAAAAAGCATTGTATGTATCTTTATTATATTAAGGGCTAATGTGCTGCCGTAAATGATATAATATATATTTTGTGATTTTATATATTATTATTATGCGGCCGATGCGCGCGCACGTCAGAGTTAACCAAAGCACGAAACCGCGTTGAAAGCGCATTGCTTCCAATAACTTCTCTTCTTCTGCGCGCGATACGAATCCGTCCGGGCTCGGATCCTGTTCATCATTTGTTTGGCAAACAGGTAGTCGAACAGCGCATTCTCGAGGTTTTGGTCTTCGCTCTGTAACACGTGTGCGCAATAATATTACAATTTCGTGTCGACGTATTATATTAAAATGTAACCTTTTTTAAGCCGACAGCAGAGGAGGGAGGCTCTGCGTGTGACAATATTACTCCTCTGCTGCCGTCGTTTATTGATGTTTACAATACATTAATTATACAGACGACGATACAGACTATTATAAATACGATACAATAATTATGGTTGCTTCACCTTACAATAAAAAAAAAAAAAAATTGGATAAGAACCAATTTGATATGATCTTATATTTAAGTCTATTTAAAAATTCTAAAAACATATTTTGAATAAATTTACTATTGAAGGGAAAATGGAAGTGAGCATGCTTAACAAATCCCGCTGTATACGTCATCGGTGGCGTTTGCAGAATTTTTTTTCAAACCCCCTTGATACGCCACTGTATGATGCCATCACCAAATAAGCTTATTTTTCAAACTATTGTTAACAGATGGCATATATAATAAAGAATTTTGAAAAAAAAACACATATTCAGGTATGTATCTATGCTTGCAGCTGAACGTATCTCGGAACAGAGTAGAATTTGACGTGTATATACTTATGGTATGACAATATTATTCTGTTGTTTTTGTCAGATATATTATAAAATCTGAACGTAGGCACATACGAGCATATTATTGTGTTATTGACGTTTACCCTATTTTGTTTACCTAAACGTTTGAATGTCTAATACTCATATTATTCTCTGTCGATGACGACTAGTTCGGATTCAACGTCTTAGGGCACATATTATATATTATATTGAAATTTATTTTTAGCTTCCCAGTAATGGTTTAGTTCATACAAACAATTATAATATAATATTATTGTAATGGCTTTAGATGAAAATATAGGAACAGACAACAGACTACATATTACCAATACATTATTGTCGACAACTTTTCTCTATCCAGACATAGTCAGGGGAGGTTGACACATTTTGCCATATGCATACACCAATCGAGATATTATATCAAGTAGAATTATAAGTAATTACTCATAGCAGGAAAGAAAATTTAAGTTTATTTGCAACAGCTGACCCTAGGAGAAAATTTATTATTGTTAGCCATTAGATACCTACATTAAATTATTTTGTACACATAAGGTTTTTTGTCAATATTAATTACCATGGTAGTTTGATTTTAAATTTCTTGTTGTACGGCTAATTAGTAGTTTTTATGGATGTCCAGTAGCACCCGAGGGTCTGCTTGATTTTATTTTTTTGGGGACTTTACTACCACCCCCGGAATTATGACCCAAGTTGCCGAAATGTGTTTGAAACTCGTAGACACTATATCTTTCATTCTTACTTACATACTTTCTAAATGAAAAACTATATTTTCGTTGAACTTATAAGTTATTTTTCTTAATGTGTATGTATTTCGTAAACAGCAATTTTGCTGCAAATAAAAAATTAATAATTTATTACCATACGCCTATATTTAAACAGTTAAGAACACGCTGTATTTAAAAACTAGTCGATAGTCATTATTACGTAATTTAAATATATTTTCAATTATGACAAATTAATTATTTTTTTAATAAATATATTATTTGATAAAAATTATTGAACTTAAGATTACTTATCAGTTCAATAAACTGGGTATAAACCGGTATCCTTTAATCTAATCAACACACTCTCAAATTACACTTGAATTACAGACAACTATAATGCTTAGAAACAAAAAACCGAAGTAGGCACAACAAAGGACATCAAAGAATAATAAAAAATAACATTAGTGCAATAATTATAGGCCGAGTAAAAACAATTATTTCTTTGAATTCTGAAAGGAGTGCACTTAACTTTCACAGGGACAATATAATTTCATCATTGTAATATGATATAGGCGACATAATCGATATAGGTACCTAATTATATTCATAGGTTTAATAAGCTTCAGCGTGATATCTATTAGAGCAAAATTTATTAGAAAAAATGATAGAAAAAGGAGTATAAAATATGTAATATAATATTATGTACAAAAAAAGATAAAAATTAATGTTAATACCTAACTTAATTTCAGCATTAATTGTAAAGAAGTTTGTTGGACATGTAGTGACGTATAGGTAGTGTACGACCGGAAGAAGTTAAATACATCGAGAATATTCATCATCCGTTTTTATATTTTTAATTTAAAAAAAAATTGTCTTCATTTATTTTTAATAATAAATAAAAAATATAGAAAAAATTGTTCTATACATTTTATATGTGTGTAAAGTACATGCCGTGTATCTATGTGGGACATCACAGTTGGAGAATCTGCAGTCATATAGAATTGAATATTTGTATAGGGAAAAGTGTCTAAGGCCTAAAAATTGATCCCATGGTAAGTTAGATTGAATAGGTAGGTACAACGAAGTAGGTATAATGTAACAGATCGCGAGGAGGATGAGATGGAAATCTACTCGTCTTTATGAATTTCTTATCTATATGCAGTCAAGAGCCGCAGGGAAAATGTTGCAAAGACGTAGGCATACCACATTTTTAATTTTAAAAAAAGTATGGTTAAGGTATGTTTATGGTATTTTTCCGAACTCGAAATAGTTCTGCACGTCAAACTGTCCAAGTAAAAACTTCACAAGGCAGGGTCAATATACTTTGGACTTACAATGCAATATGTAAAAAAAAGCAAAAAAAAGTTACGCAGGTATCTATAATAGCTATTACCAATATTGCCTAATATACATATTTTTTTCGTCGGTGTTTAAACATAAAAAACGTATTACCTATGCACATGTGATAGAAATTTATATTCATGTACCTACCTAAGTATATTATTCACAAATGCATTGTTTCTGCTTCAAGACATATAATTATATATTATTAATACCGTTCTGTTAGTCGTAATAATTGATTTTTCGATTGTCCTGTCTAACTTACAAACTTGTGTCGATTTTCACGAACAACTGTGTTATGCACTATTCGTTAAGTTATTTTAACATACTGCCACAATAACGTCACATGCACACTATTATATTTACTATTTTACTGTACATTTTTGTTTTGGCAAAAGTTGTTGTTGTGTTCGGGGTATATAATATTATTCGAGTAACCCATACCAATTATTCTGAGCGTTTATTTGAGAACATTTTTTTATACTTGCCCTCTAATTATTATGAAAAGCTGTTCACAAATATTCCCCCAAACCTATACAATAGTTGAAGAAATATAATATGTGTACCTATCGCGTTCATGATATTATAACTTGTAACAAAAGGATAACTTAATATTTCTGTGTGTACCTACGTGATATTATGCCTATATATGTACAACACTTTTGGAGCACAAATATTAATATTCTAATGGTTTTTTTATTATTATTTTTTGATATTGATCCCTTTTATTTTAATGAAAAGTTAATACACTGCTTTACGTATACATTGTACAATACATTAATTAGTCATATATTTAAACACTACTAAATGTATTGTTTTTCATTTATATAGGATTATTTTCATGTTAGTTGATGATTATGCTATTTTATTGTTTACAAAATCTTAGATTACAATATTCAAATTACTCAGGTTACAAAATAGAGCTACACAAAAAAAAAACGATTTTTCCATAAGCCAGATTTTTAATTAATGTCTGTCTGTGTCTGTAGAAATTGGATGTCAATATGTTTGTGATCAATTTATTAAAATCGTTAGTCCATTACACTGCACTTTGTATTATGTATTTAAAATATAGTGCCTAATACTAAAGATCGTAACGGGTTTTGTGAAGTTTTTAATATCCTGTTAAAAGTTAATAAGGAGATATTTAACGATGCACAATTATTTATCAAATTAAAAACCTTAGTTTTTATGGTATAATCATCGACAGCGGGTTCTTCAATGTCGCGGAAATCGTCCTTGTCGTTCATTGACATTATTTCAGGAGAGTTTTCTCCAAGTTCTCTCTGCAGTACTCTCTGGTCTATGACGTTCCCTGTCGTTAGTATTGGCAATAACACAGTTAAAACTGTAAGTGTCAAAATTACTCCATAAGATAGGAATCCCATCTGTGTGGCCATTTTAGGTATTCCTGAAAACCATTTTATGATTAGATACGTATATATGTGTAACTAGGTAGAGTCAATTTGACCGTAAAATTCAAAATGACACAATCAAATTGAATAATTATTAATTAATGAAAAAAAATAATGAAAATCATAGTATAAATGTTAAATAACATAATTATAGTAATATAGACCATGAATTAAGGTCTCAATTCATGATATATAGACTAAAGTTTTTAGTATTTCAGTCACATAATAGATAAAATTATTTATACAATTTTCTAATGAGTAGTCCATTAGGTACTAACTACTAAAGAAAAAAAAAATTAATTATTAAAATATTTGTATACAACTCGATAGACAATGATTTTTAGTGAGTATATAGATTCCTACTAAAGTGGTACCTACCACTTTAAGAAAAATAACTAGAACTCAAATTTCTATTAATTTGCAAAATGTTATTACTGATCTTAATAAAAGTAGGTATTTTTTAATTAAAAAAAATTATCTTATTTATCTTATCTTATCTTATTAGCTTACCAATAAAACATTGTTTTTTAAAATGTTATCTACTATTTACTAGTTTCTGTAATTTAAGTCCGATGGAAATGCTGGATCATAGAAATAAACAGAGATGTGTTTAATCATATAAATAATAATTTATGTTCCTGTTATACATCATATTTCATGAACTGGGTACCAATTAAGCTAAAATTAATAAAAAATATTGGCTAATATGGCGTTTGGAGGAAAAATGATTTATAGTATAATATGGATACTATAATATAGATAATTAAGTAGGTAATTTTAATAATGATTTATGACAATATACTTCTTAATAACATTAGTTCGATGTACTACGAGAGTATTGGATGTAAGATTAAATTATCCATGATGATTAATTTTGTTTATAATCATAGCCAGTGGAGTGGTGAACAGTAATTTCAGAAGCAATTCCCCCTGAATTTTTTCTTAAATAGAGGGGTGGGTGGTAGCTGGTGGGTCCCCTAGTAAATGTTATATTATATAGGTACACAATATTTAGTAAACAATGATCTGAAATTTAATTAGTTGTATTATTTAATTTCAAACATAAATAATACACTCCACGCCCTACACTTAACACATACGACTTGAGCGTCATGTAAGATTATGGGTCACGAGTACGGGGTCCGTGGGTATTTGGACTGTACTGTTAGAGGTACGCGTTATTTTCCATAATTATACTTAAAGTAGGTATTATTTAGGTAAAAGTTGTGTCCACAATTCACTCGGGCGAATGTAAGGCCTATAGAAACTTAAGTTACCACGGTTGGCGGACAAATGCATTCAACTATAAATAATCAGCTTCACTTCATTGATCCGGAACCATATGGGTCAATCAGTGGCGTGTAACATGGGGTCCAAGTGTTGCTTAGGCAACACCTTAAATATGGGTGGGTGGGTATTTACTATTTATAGAAGAAAAATAAGACATTTTATAGGTCGATATAACAGTATATAATGTCACCTAAAATTATTTGAGCAACACCTATTTTTTTTTATGATGATACACGCCAGTACGCCACTGGGGTCAATAGTCAACCTATAGACCCTATAAATGGAGACAAAATACGGCATAAAAATACGTGGTGCCACCTATTTGTTGCAACGGCAGTTGATAAAAGAGTGGTGAGAATCACTTAGTGCCTCCAAGAACCTTAACGAACAATTCTTTGAAACCATGGAAATAACTTATTTGTTGCAGAAATGCCCAGGTGACAGACACCCACATATTGAGGGGTGGAAGATTGTAGATATCAATATATCACACAACGCCAAAAAACAGTTTTGACAGAAACATTTTTCATGTAGATAACATAATACGACTCGAGTTCCTCACATTTTTTACAAGCATTATGTTTTGGCACACTGAAAATATTCAAATATTCAATAGGTAATTCTAATTAATTAAAAGAAACATTCGTCGTATTTTAAATTGTAAACACACCACACACAAGCGCATATCATTTACAGATCGAGAGTTGAGAATAATAATTTGCATTAATCTCTATTCCAAACACCCTGGGTAGGATATATATATATATACCAATATACCTATATAATATATACACTATACTTACATTAATACAAGCAATTCTCAATAGCATTACCGAGTTCATTAAATCCATTTTTTTTCAACTTGCATATTAAATGTTTAATTTCCTTACATGCTTACGCATACGTAATTAAAGAGTATTAATCTCTACACAGTAGAAAAACAAACGGTTGAGGGATTCGACCTTTGTCCATTAATTAAATATTCGTATCCATACGACGTGCCAGGGAAAACGAATACGAAATATATTTGAGATTTCCCTAAATCTAGATTAAAATATTAACTGCAAATTTTATAAAACATCCTTTTAATTTTTGAACAGTTCTCGTTGTCACATTGCATATATTAAATTGTAATCCTTAGTACGCCAAAGGCATACATTAATGGGATTACCGATATTCCCGTATGGCAAACATATGATATTCTTTAATACCGATTTGAACGTCACTTTTAATAATAATTATTACAATTTCGTAATAGCATCCTCGTATTAAATACGTGTGCTTTTTTGGATTCCTGGTAGAAATAATGAATCTGTACATACATATATAATATATATGTATGTTGGGGTTTTAATGATGTTTTTTTTCATCCGACTGAAATTCGTTTCGCTGTTAACAGGTTAACCGCTATAGCAACATGTACCTCCCTGCCATGGCACGCCGCGCCATTAAAATTATTAAAAAAAATTTAAAAGGTTCTTGCTCAAGACCAGAATCATAATTCTGAATTATCGAGTTTTTAATATTCCGCTGTGCAGTTCGTATAATTAAGAAAATCCTCACTGCAGAGGCCACTTATGGAATAATGTGTAAACGATACGCAATTAAAAAAAATCTTCCATATGTGTGTAATGTGTATACTTTTTAAGTGTTATGGTCCGATTGGTTTGTAAAAAAATTGTAATAACCACAATGTATACTTTTTAAGTGTTATGGTCCGATTGGTTTGTAAAAAAAATCCTAATAACCACAATCTGTAATAAAAACTGTATAATCCGCGCCCCGCGTGGTATCGCGTAAATGATCAAAAGAGGCGAATGGCTGATAAACTGATAAAAAGTGATCTGAGAAATTCGTGTGGCTGATCGATCGTTTCGTTCTTGAAAATAATTGAGAATACAAAAAAAAAATATCAATTTTTTTGGTAAAATAAAATTACAACTGTTAACATCTTTTACTTTTAAGATACCTATACATTTTGTGAATTGGTTAGAACTCTTTTTATATAAAATTATATACCACGCTTCCACTCGTTATTTTACTGAACGATTAGTTGATCAATTACACTGAGTTGTTGTTTAGTGTTATACTTCGAATGTATATTTTATATGTTAATACAGTTATTATATTTATAGCTACTACTTATGTTTTAGTTTACGCTGTGTACCAATAACAAATAACTTTCTAGTTATTTCTACAAAAATAAAAAGTAAACAATACATATAAAAATTATTTTTTATTATTTTAAAAGTTGATTCTATTAATTCTTTATGAATGTATGAAGCGTAATATTTATTATTCTAGAATTTTAATCATTATTGCAGACTTATTTTGTGTAGTAAAATGTTCTGTTGCTCTGAAATTAATGGCAAAATAAAGTTTAGTAAGTTGTTAATTTATTTCATTTTAATCGTAAATTCCAGAGAACTAATCATTTAACTTGAGTCAAATTTAATTTTTATATAATTTGTTTGTATTACATTTTTTTAAACAAAAATGTTAGTATTTTATTGAAGCCAATACTAAGAATAGTGTATACAGGGCTTATAAGTTGATGAAGTTATACCAAGTGTAAAACTTTAAAAGATTATAATTGTTTTTGCTGAAATATTAGAGTAATAAATTAAAAATTTAAGTGACTTTTTGTAAGGTATTAATAACTCTTATAAATGTTACTAAATATACAGGGTGGTTCACCAGGAATGTACACTCACACTTTTTTCTTTAATTATGAATTTATTCAAATTTTTCAAATTAATTTTGTACAGTTAGACGGTCTTTTTAAATATAATATGTCCTATGTCAGCACAAACTATTTTTTTCAAATGATAACTCCTTTTTTACTCTACATTGTTAAGCAAATTATATTTCTGAAAATGTTATTAAAGTATATAAATCAAAATCTAGACAAATAATTAATGAATTATTAAACTTATAATTTACTAAGGATGCAAAGAGTTCGTGATAACAAACTCAAAGATATAAAGGTTACGACAATTTTAAAATTATAATATATTAGTATTTTATATCCCTAGTATGCTAAAATATTTGGACTCAATATTAAATTTATTTTATATTAAATTTGAAATCAATATTATTATTCTGAGTAAGTAGGTAGATACATACAATTTAATAACTCGGAAACTACTCGTTCGGATTTCAAACGTCTACGCATTAAAATAAAAAACATTCATTTTATTAAACATTTACAATTACAAAGGATGTTCATGTTTCTCATTTATAAAAATAAGTTTGTACCGCTACATGACATTCTATAAATGGTACACAAAATTATAAACTCTGAGCATATGAAAAATATGGTCTTTAACTGTGGGTACCGAAAAAATTTCAAAAATCAGAATATGAATAACTACGCCATTAAGGGATACAAAACGGGCGAGCATGCTTAGCGAATCACATCTTAAATTATATATAATGCAATAAAATATAAGATTGTTTAGTATTTATTCAGTTTATTTGTTTAAAAAAAAACTTAAAGGATTAAACGAACATTTATGGTTCCACATTATTAAACTAATACATTCCGATCACTATAATTGTGTTAATATTTAAAACCTACTTTATGAATCTGTAATTGAGATAGGTAAATGCTATTTAATAGAAAGATTAAAATTAAATAATATGCATTTTTTTTAGCAAAGGCAATATGCTGAAATATAATGTCTTATTATTTAGCTTAGACATT